TGACACTGTATATACATGTGTTTATGCTATTCTGTATTTCTTCTCTGCCTTAGGAAAGCTTTGGTCATTTAAGTACTATGCTATGCCATCAGAATTTTGTCCCTCTACTTTGTTGTGGCCTACACCCTTTGGAAGGTGCTCTCTGGTCACTCTTTAGGGCACTGAGTATGCATTAGAGGGTCCCGACCAGGATGTGGTTGTTTTTGGATAAACCACAAATCATAAATGGGATTTGGATCATGGATGAAATCTTTTTGTGGCTCCAGGTGTTTCCTTCTCTCACAACAGGCTAAGAGTTACTCTAGTCTGTGTGGGCACATGAAAATTTAATGTGCCCCAATGCCAACACCTTTTGACAGAGGATGTCCTGACACCTTCTCTGGACCAGGCCAGAATTGCAGCGTTAGGGCTGTCCTGGGCAAAGAGCAGAGAAGGGCTTGGCCAACCTTATGGGAAAGCAGCTCTTCTTTGCTGCCTGTCATCATCTTGCTCCTCCTGACTTCCCCTTCATTTATGGGGGTTTTCAAGGATAACACTTATCCGAGGCATTGAATAGAGTTTCATTCTCTATATTTAGGTTTTTTCTTTTTATATCAACCATGAAAGATTTAGGTTTTGCAAAATGCAGGTTGTTGACTGCAATACTCTTTTGGCTACTGAATTTTGGCAACACACAGACTTTCAGAGCAGATTTTCTAGCAACCCTATTGTCAGAACCAGCCAAGTGCCTTGGCAGTGCAGGTTTTCTGTGCCAGAGGAAAAAAAGACAAACTGAACTACAACACTCTGTATAGATATTGGGTACAAATGATATTTCTGTAAAAAGACTGTGCTAAATGTAGCTCAGTCTTTTGTTGCTCATTGTTTATTCCACCTCTAGGGAGACCTTATGCTGTTGCAAATAAGGGGTTTCTAATGACCATACCTGCAAGGCAGGTGACAATCATCTTTTGTAGCGCTGTTATCAAGACTACCATGACAGCAGACCAAGGGCTTCATCCTAACTTGGGTTTGCTCCTATCTCTGTGCAGGAGCTGTAGGAGCTCTGTTTTAGAGGTGCAGCATATGGGGTGAACAGGATTTTGGCTGTTTCTCTCTAGATTTCTCTTCCTAATTAAATGGAAAAAAGATCCTGTGCTTGAAATGCACCCCAGAGCCATACCCTGACGTAGAGATTGGGCATAATTAGATGGGACTAGGTGTGGTGTTCAGGGACCCAGAATAGCCATAATTGCCATGATCTGTTTTGGACCTGCAGCAGTGTCACAGCTATTTCAAGGCTCTGCTTCCTGTAGGTGCTGGTCAGTCCCTGCTGAGGGGTGTCTTCCTGTGCCAGCTAGTTTTTTTGCTATATTTCTTTCATTTATTAATTAGCAGTATTTAAAAAGACCAATGCCTGCCTTTTGATCCTATCTGATCTGTAAAGAAGCTCTTCCTCAGGTTGAGGTGGAACTTCTTGTGTTTTAGTTTATGGCTACTACTCCTATCGTTGTGCACCACTGAAAAGTTTCCAGTGCCATCCTCTTGACACACACCTTTAAGATATTTTTATGTATTGATAAGACCTTGTCTCAGCCTTATCTTCTCTAGACTAAACAGGCCCAGCTCCCTCAGGCTCTCATAAGAGAGAGACCAGACCCCATGCAGGAGGCACTAGTTATGGAGACTAACTCTCCAATTCAGTGTCCAAATTCAGCTTTAACTAAGAATCCCATTAAATTACTTCTGTATAAATCCCAATACTTCTATTTGGAACCTCAAAAGATTTTCCTGTGCAGTCAGCCAAATACATTTCCCAGGACTGTTGAAAGCTGCAGGGAAGATTTAGTGCTTGTTTCTTCTAGGAAGGGGGTGGAAAATTACTGGGAAGCAACAAGAGAGAAGAGCCATCCTGGCCTGACCTAATCAAGACCCTCATTTTCAAGTAGTGGAAATATTGCAGAGAAATACAACCAGGACACTGCACACAGTGTTATTTGTAGGCTGTTCTCATATGTCATTAGGATATTTTCAATCTTGCTGCCTGGAGGTATTTTAGCAGCAGCTTACCTACCACCAACAAAATCCATTAGTTTAAACAATAAAAATGATCCGTTTGGCCACAGTGAAGGCTCTAAAATTGCTTCAGCAAGTGCAGATATAATGATGGAAACTTCATAGCTGTGCAAGGATCACAACAGACCTAATGAAAAAAAACAACTGCTGTGAGCTGTTCTCTGCAAGGGCAACACCAAGCCTCAGTTTGTTTTTCCTAGAACACCCTGTAGCTGGAGAATTACGGCATCATCAAGGCTGGAAGACACCTTCAAGATCATGTAGTCCAACTGGCAACCCAGCACCAGCATAATCACCCCTAAACCATTTTGATTTGGAGAAGCAAATTTAACAAGAGGCAGGTACTGAATGCAGAGCATTGCACATATATGCATTTTTTTAGGGTGGCGCCACTAGTATGTGCCTGATAATGTCAGAAGTTTTACATTGCACCTGGTACTCATTAATCTGAGAGAGCCAGTGCAAACCAATGAACCAGCATCTTCAAAAGTCAGAGGGTGTGTGAGTGGCTGATGCTGGGGCTCTCCCTTGCTTGGGAACAGCCTCACCAGCTCTGCTGATGGACCTGCAGTGCAAGCGCTAACCCCATTCTGTTGAAAATGGCACAGACTAGAAAACTTCTCCCATTAAATATATCAGCTCAACAGCCAGGGATATTTTTATTTTATTTACTCCCCTACTGCCTCCGAGAGTAATTTCCTCAGGACTAGGGAGTGGAATTTTGTTTCCAGCACTTAGCTGCATGCAACAGCTCTGCTTGGTTTATTGCTGAAATGTGCTGATACCCAATAATCCCACACTTGGAAATGAGGTGCTCAGCTACTGTCCTGTCAACTTTTCTACTTTATGAGCCTGTCAAATTGTTTTTATTCATGCCTAATATAATCTTTCCACAATAAGGAGCTTGCATGGCTAGGGATAGGCAGGACACTGCTGCTATTATGTGGGAACTGTGATGAATTGCTTATCAACTTTCAGGGTTGAGGCAGCTGTTGGGAGTATTCCTCTTGAAGTTTCAGAATTGTGTTCCTGCCCTGTGCTTTCTGTGCATGTCATGGTGTACATTTTTTGCCTTTCTTTCAGGAGAGTGTCAGTGTGGAGGGAAACAAAAACTGATCACTTAATCAGTGCATAAACTTGAGTGATTTATTAAGTTTGTCTACATGTAGCAAAAGCAGCACCAGTGTCTCACTGGACACACAACCCCACACCGGGAGGCTTGACTGTCTGGGAATTACTGTTCAAAGCAATTGCATTTTTCTATAACTGGTATTGCATGGGATTATGGTATTATAAATAGGATTTGCTCTAAAGGCCAGTGGCCCTCTGTATCTTAGGGATTACTCCAGCTTCTCCTAAAAGGAATTTTGATAATGCTTCTTTAATGAGACTGGGCTAAATTGAATTACATCCTGCCTTCCCCCTAAAGTGGGATCTTGTTCTATCATGCTGCACATGTGCACAGATGAGTCTTATAAATTCCTTTCCAGGGGATACACATGACCTATATAACAACACCTACACAAACAGACACAAACCTAACCCTAAAATATTTGTAAAAGAAAAAATATGTAAGTGGTTTTATTTGAGCAGTTTGGGGCCTGAAGGCCTCTGCTTCACCATCACACTTTATTTTGGCCCAAACAGTTCAGTTTTAAAACTGGAGATGGTAAATGCTACAAAATGGACATTTTGTAATTCTTTATAACACACTGGTACTCCGGGGCTCTGATCCTTGGACTGAATTCTGTTGATACAGGGGGGAAGGATGAGCAAAGCGGTTGGTGACAGACAGCAGGAAGCTCTGCAGTTTTTCCCACTGCTGGTTCAGAGTAGCAGGTGTGTGTTCAGCATCCTGCATCTTGGCAGATGGCTTGTGAAACTACCTGGCCTGGCTGTCCCCTCACTGCTGAACATCCCTCCAGGTCAGCTGGCCAGCAGCACAGCTGTGTCCCAGGCCAGCCTGTGAATTGGCTGAACAGGTGAGGTTTTGCAGAAAATCATGAATGGGGAAGGACTAGTCAGTTCAACAGGGACAGAAACTTGTTTTCTCCTAGTTGAGGTCTGGAGCAACTTGGTCACTCACCTGAGCTGTGCAGCCTCACTGCATCTTGCTGAGGAGAGAAAAGCTGCAGGTGGTGCTAGGGAAGAGGTTGCCATGGCTTGCACACAAACCAATTTAATGAGAGGCTTTCCATGGAGAGATCATTCTGTCTTCATTTTATTCCTAGCTCTTCCCTCACTCCTGCTTCATCCAACCCATTTGTTGTAGATAAAGAGTAATTTGCTTGCTTTTTCATGCAACACACACCTCCAGTTTTATTCCACAACCCCACCTGTAGCTTCATCAACTGATCTGTGAGAAAGTCCTTGCTGTGAGCTGGGTACAGAGATCACCTTGAAGACCATCAGATCCACTCACACCCACTGTGGTCTTACCTCTCTTGGCAGGTGAGCCCTGTGGTGTTGCTTACTGTGCTCTCCTCCTGGAGGGCCAGGAGCCAAAGGAAGCTCTCAGCTGGGCAGCCAGCAGAAGGTGCTGTACTGGGGCTTATGTACCACAGCTGACCAGAGACATCTTCCTACAGCTTTTGGGAAAAAATTACTGGTGGTGCTGTGTGACCTTTCCTGGGCACCAGCTGCCAGGCAGCAGTACCAGGCTGGGTGGTGTTGCAGCTGATGGAGCACATTACAGGGTATGGATCTTGCCAGAAAGCCAGTGGAGCAGTGGTGATGAGGGAAGAGCTTGGCTGGCAAATTGCTCCTGGGGATGGATAGGGAGGTTAGCTAGTCATCCGGTGCCAGGCTCCTCTGCGTGAGCGAGTGGCTGGTTGGCGCAGAAACACACCACTACACCAGGGCTCCTCCAGGAATGTATTTATTTACATTAAAACACTATTATACAACTGAAAGAAAGGAAAAGGGAAAAAAATAAAAAAGAGACAACATCCCACCCTGTCTTGCTGATGCCTTCCTTCTGCTCTGGTCTGACTGTGGAGTGCTGCACTCCTTGGAGGAAAACCCCTTCCTAACCCTCTCTGTGTGAACAGCCATGTGTTCTCTTTAAATGGCTTTTTCAGAAATCTTTGTTTTCTCCCTCCAAAGAAAACTCTTGCCCACACGTTCTTTTCTTAATTTATTTATGTAACACAGTGTAGAAAGCTATCAATTCATAAGCAATGGCTCTGTACAATCATCCTGCAGAGGACCCCCGTTAATTTTCAGCCAGCAGGCACTTCCCCCCCCAGAAGTGCTCACAATTAACAGGGTCTCTTTTTAATAATTTTTTTTAAGATCAAAAAGATACATGGAAAAGAAAATAAAGTTTACCTTTCAATGCCTAAAGTGTGCACATAAAACAGGCACAAAGAAACAAATGTGTATTCCCATGATTTCTACATCACTAACTAATACAGCAGGAGCAACAATCTGTACAATAAAATGCAGCTGCAGAGGAAAAGAATTTCAATAACTCATCTGGAATACTTTTTAAAAAATGTTGTTTTACTTTAAAATGCATAGTGATCAGAAAAAAATGCTCAGCAAAGAGAAGCAGCTAAACCCCACAGACACCAAAAGCATCCCCCATCAATTCTTAAAGCATATTTCAATTAGGACTTAATTTTGTCACAAATCACAAGAATAATATACAACTGGCTAAGGAGCTACATGATAAATAATTGGGAAAGAGAATCTATTCATGCACTAGTTAAATACAGCTAACCTCTTTACAGTACACAAAAAACATTCATTAATAATGTAGTGTAAAGACTGAAATGTAAAGAGAAAGAGAGAGAAAATACATTACTAATTTTATTAATTCAAGTTCAGGCATCTACTTGTGTTACAGCACAGCTGTCAAAAGGCGAGAATGAGTAAATAATAAAACAGAGTGTTTTTCTTTCTTTCCACATTACTCTATAACTGAACACCGATGGGCAGTGAAGCAATCATTCTGCTGTCCAACTCACGAGGCTGCTGTGGTGTCCTAGTTCTGCATCTGTTCAAAGAACTTGTAGGTGGGATTTTCATAGCCATTTTGCTGCATTTTGGAAAGGTGGCGTTCCTCTGGTGTCACTGCAGCATCCACCTGAGGTGAGAAGGAACAACCAGGGTCAGATTCCTGCTCAATTCACAGCACACCCTATGTCTGCCCACCTTAGGGCCATCCAATATATCCTACCCTGTGTGTTTGGGCACAAAGCATCCTCTGGTTCACTTTTTGGACAGAGTAATATACAGAAGAAGATAATGCACCAAGAACAACTCTCCAACACACACACTTTGCGGCAGGACTTCAAAAGCAGTTGACCAAACTCAGCAGTACCAACTTTGTTTTTTGTTGTCTGGCTCATGATACATGCAACTCCACAAATACAAAAAAGGGGATGCAGTTTGCATCTCCTTGCTAGTCACTTGTTATTAGATTTTTTCCTTCCTAGGACATATATCAATATCCATATTTGGGACCAGCTGGATCTCAAAATAAAAAGCTCACTAAAAAGCTGAAGGAAGCAGCTTGAGGCTGTCCTTAACTCCTGCAGGCAGGGAACAGGATGCAGGCAGAAACAGGTGAAATCGTGCTCCCTTGTGTTTCGAATTCTGCAATATATTTGGACTTTTAATACTGCTATTCACAGGCTGCCTTTCTCCCTTTTTCAAAGTTGCATTTGCATGCAGTAATTCTCTTATGCAACAATCCCCAAATCCATCTATTTCTTAAACTCCTGTGACATGCTTCTAGGCAGCAAGATCTTGTTTAGAGGCCGCTCTTGTTTGTTTCCCTTGTTTGAGAAAGGGGGGGAGAAAAGTGCTTTCTTCCCTGCCTCTGCCTCTCTCCAAAAGTGACAAACCTTTTCTTCTGAAGGATGCAAGCCTTGGCTGGCCAGCTCACATGAGCGCCAAGTGCTCAGCTTGGCTGTCAACAATCATTTTGATCCATCAAGGACAGGAGAACCCCTGGGAATTTTCACCACTCATCTCCCCTGCACCCCCCTGCCCCAAATCCCCAAGACATTTCCGTACAGCCACGTGTTCAGCAGCAGTGTGCAGCTGTAGACTTGCATTTTAAAGCCTGGTCCATGCCTGCTGCTCCAGTCTCCCCTACTGCAGCAGTGAGAGCTGGGAGAGCAGGGCTGGGTGAGGGGCAGTGAGACCTGCTACACCTCACAGCACTCACCTCTGCAACTACTCCAAGGGCTGGGCTGATTCCCTGTCTTTTCTCCACGGGTTGCCAACTTCTCCCTCCACAAAAATACCATCTAGATCCATATATGCAGTGAACCAACACCTGGCAATTCCTCAATGCTACTGCTGTTCAGCAGAGCACTTGTTTTCCCTGAATGCCAGCAGTGTAATAGCAGCAGAGCCTGACAAATCCAGTCCATATAGGTTTTGTACAAACACGTAAAAGGCCTAATCCCCACCCCGAGGGCCACGCAAATTTAACAGCATTAACTATTTCTGTTGTGACAACATTGCCATGTGCCATCTGCTGCTGCTGAAGTTGTCACCAACACAGCTGCAAAGGGAAGAACAAAGCAGGGGAAATAGCAAATGTCCCTGTAGCCTTTTCAGCGCTTATAGAAAATAAGAATAAAAGCAGGTGCAGAGGAAAAGCCACCCTGCCTCTCATTCTTGCAGGGCTGCTGCAGCATCAAGTCAGCTCTGGTTCTTGTGCATGGTATCATCACAGTACTGGAGTACTTAGTGCTTCTCCAAATCAAAAAGTGAGTCTTACAATGCACAACTAAACCCACTGATGGATTCTTTTCTAGCATGAAATTGAAGTTCAATATGAAGCTTTGGGGTTGATGGACAACGGATCCCTGTGTATCAATACACGCCTGAGAGCATCTTCCTTTGTAGGAGGTTCCCTCACTAGGCTGGGATGCAAAGGAGGGGTGTGCCAGAACCTGTGTGGGATTTCTTTCACTTTAAGCTCCAACCAACACCATATTCAACTCTGTCACCCGTTTTAGTTTAAGCCTCCCACTCAACACTTCTTATTCAGGACTAGAAAATGTGGTAAGTACACAGCATAACCTGCTCATGGGAAAAAAAATGGGGTAAGACACCAATGTAAATTAAAAAAGAATCAAAAAAAGTGCAAGGCAGAAGAGACTAAAGAACTGATGAGAAACTTGGAAGAAAATCAGGGAGGAGAAAAAGACTGCCAAAAATATATGGAAGGACAGTAAAACAATGCTAAACTTTTAAGACCTTTGCACAATATTCCGTATTACAAAGTAAGTCCCACTTTGATAAAACTGGTTTCTAGTGCAAGTCCAATAACCTCTGAAATATGGCATTTATAGATGAATGGGATTTACTGGAGCTCCTACTTGCAGTCTTAGTCAATTTTTTTTTTAAAATTTCCCCTTTAGCCTTTAAAATGACTAGTGCTGATACCTCCTCTCCTTCTTGTAGCTGTCTGCTGCAGGGTAATCCATCTCACTGCCAAGCTACATGTACTATTGCTCATGCTGAATATCTTCTCTTCTAGTCCCTTTTGCCCACGTTGACACTGCCGAACTCCTCTCATTCTTTACGACCTCTGTCCTAGGTATTTTCTGCCAAACAACATGCTTTGAACCTGATTATCTCCTTGCCATTAAATCCCTAAAGCCCCTTTCCAATTTAAGATGCTTTTTGCACCCATTATGGAGGTGGCAGAAGCTGAACACAGCAGGTAAGAGGTGTGGGCACTCTGGTGCTGCTGAGAAGCAGACCAGACACCTCTCTTTTCTATGACATGATGTCTCTTGAGAAGACAGCTCAGTCAGGTAGATAACCTCTTTTGAGACTGTTTGTCCACCTATGCCCTTCTGCAATTTTTATGTCATCTCTGCTTCTGCTGTGAGCCCTCCTATTGTCACCTCTCCCCATGTTCTCCTGCTGGAGGTGCTGCCTCTGTCAGAAAGAAAATGAGCTTCGAAGAGAATATCCTCAAAGAGGACAAGCTGAGACAGTCCATTGTTGCCCAGTGCACAGCAAACACGAGCATCTCTCTTTTGCCACCTGCTTTCATGGAGAAAACAACCTCCTGCAGACAGCTGGGGTGGGTGCACCAGCCAGAAAACCACTTTCAAAACAGTTTTCAGAGCCCCTGTGCACATATAAATAATTTTCAATCTCTCGGTCATTTATTTACTTAACAATGAAAGTTCTTTTCCTGGGAACCTCTTTGAAGCATTTTTATTCTCAGACTATGGAAAAAATCTCTATGACACTTCTTCTAAATAGGACAAGTATATCCATCCTCAGAGCTTCAAAAAAAGCTAGCAGGATTTTGAATAACTTATTTTGTTAAAAAAAAACATAGCAAAATGCAAAAAAGTCCAACAGAGTTGACTTTTTTGAAAACAAGAACACAGGTGGAACAGGATCCATTTTGTGATCTTGCATCTGTTATCACAGAGTTAAAATTCTCACAAGAACTGACATCCAACAAAGAGGTTGCGAGATTTGTTAAAACATACTCAGCCAGCCTACAGCTGATGTACAGGTTTTCTTATATCAAGTGATTTTGCTCATTTGTTCTTTTTATGCACTGCTAAATAAATTAATCCTCTTTAGAATGAAATAGCTTAATTTTGAAGACACCTTGATAGTAGACATCATTTGTATATGGATTTTGTGGGTTTTTTTTTTTTGTCCTCAATGCAAGTGCTACAAAAGTTTCACCAACTTACAACAAAAATAGATGTTATGCCTTTCTTGCAGATGAGAAGCTCAGAGAGTGAGGCTATGCAGACTGCCAAGACCACAGAGCAAGTCTGGCAGAAGGAGGAATCCTGCCTGCCAATGCCAGACACAATGCAGCAAATCCATGAGGTGACACCATCTACAGTGTGATACTATGAATCGACTAATATTCTTGGCACATCCACATGCTATAGCTTTATGGTTTTATCTGTAAAACTTGTCATTCTCTAAGCAATGCTGTCATTTTGACATGAATTACTTATTCAGCTTGTGCGTGATGTTTCTAGCCCAACATTTCCAAGTTCACAGTCACCAAAGAAAGCTCACAAAAATCCAGGATTGCCTTTGCCATGTCATTCTATCAGGTGAAGCCCACATGGAATTTTAAGGTTGTACTGCAGTAATCAAACATTCCATGGCAAACATTCAAAGGCTTACTCAACAATTTTAAGACACTTCATTGACCCAGGCAGTGGAATAAATACATCATGAAGTATGTACATCTCCAGCAAGACCAAAGCAAGGTTCATTTGACTCAAGGTGAAACCAACATAAACTTTGGACAAGATCAAGACTTAAGTTTCAATCAAAATGTAAAATAGCAATTCTGGAAAGCAAAAATATAAAAGTGTCTCTAGTGCTTGCTAATACAAGTGCTATCTGCACACCAGACACTCATACAGCAAACTAAGTAGGGGGAAAAAAGTGACATGAACTCCTTTTCTAGTTCTCATAATTAAGATTTTCTGCTTACAGAGGTCCTGTCTGAAAACCATGCAATGGATGAGGTATTTTAAATTACTGTAAATTGACCACAAATTTCCTAGGCACACTGAGACTAGGATTTTCACCTTGAAAATCCTATAAAACAGTCTTATAGACTACCTTTTTCCTCAAATCTATGAATTTCAGATTAGCCATAAATCAAAAGGTGTTGATGGCAACAGAAAATCTTGCTTAGAAAACAGAAAGTAGTATCTGTATAGGGAAAATCTTAGTAGTTCACAGCACAATCCATGGAAGACCGACCTCAAATATTTATTTGCAAGCTAAATAAAGAAAACCATGTGTGTGAATTCCCAACAACAATAAAACCACATTTTTCTTCTTGCGCAGTATCTGCTCATTGGCTACTGTGAAATTTCCTATAAAATTAACTTTCACCTTATGAGGTGATTGGTCTGGGATAGTTCTAGAATTTTGTGGTTTTATGCCCAATCAATATAATTTACATTGTGTTTGCATTTACTAAATAAAGCAATATGATTCCATGCTGCTAAATGAAACCACATCAACTCTGAACATAGCCAAACCCATGGTTTCTTCCTTTGCAAATTAGTATTTATAGAGCACTGTGTTGACTGTCTTGTACCTGTGACACCAGTTGTGCTTGAAAGCCTTTTCTTACCTCCACAACCCCATGATGAATAGATGTGTACTGCTTCTTCTTCAGCATCACCAAAGTAATGACAATCACTGTTGCTATGACAACACCTCCCACCATTAGTCCAATGATGGCACCTTTATTTGAACCCACGTCTTCAGCAAAAAACACCTACAAAAGAAAAATAAAGGAAGGTGGCTAACAAAAAGCTCACTGTACATTGGACTAACCTGCCCAGCTGCCACAGCAATATAAAGCCTCTTGAAGTATCAGTAATTAAACAGAACTGCATGTCATCCTAATTATTTGAACCTGGGTTGCTGTACTACAAAGCTCTCATAGCTGGAGAAAAGCAATTTGGGAAATCTATATTGCCTGTGGAGCAGCAGCCCTGTGGCTAAGGGGGGACTCAGCTGCATGTTCCTGCTTCACACAGGTCTTAGACAGTAACTGCCTTTTTCCCTTGAGTAAGCGAGTCAAGCTGATTGCAGGGTGACTGATAAGCTTTAGTGGAGTAACCAGGGGAGCAGGCATATTTCTTTATTTTTAGAATGTTAATCAAGAAAATGTTCATAAATGTACATCTGTGTGGCTTGCTTGGACTATGATGCATTTCTTCTATAAAAGAGTAGTGAAGGACCTGCAGGACAACAGGTGACACTTGCAACGCAACCAGCTGGGAGAAAATTCTCACACCAAAGAGCCAAGAGTCCAACAAAAACTGATTTAAGTGACCACCAAGGGGTGCTTCACAATTTTGCAGGGCAAAGGGAGAATGAGCTGTACCTGGATGATGTCAATACTCATGTGAGACTTAGGAGGTAACAGCTGTGTGAAAACCAGAGAAAATCCACTTGAATTTTAATGTACTGATAAGGCAAAACAGAAGACAGCAAGATGCTTTACTATGCATTTAATAAGACTGGCTTTTATCAGCAGGAGAAGGTATGAAAAGTGGGTGATTGTTTTCACTGTCCTGTTTTCTATTCAAGGAATACATTGGATTATTTTACATCTATGCACATCTTGCAACCCTTTTGTCTGCTTGTCAATAGCAGGCTGTTATTATTATTATTTTTAACCAAAATGGGCAAAAAGGATTAGAGAATAAATTACATTCACAGAACTGCAAGACTACCTCATGCTGAAAGACTAAATACTTTGACAAGTATTTAACAAAAATGCAGAGAGAAGCAGGAAACCAGCTGAGAATTATAATGTGCTGCATAACATTTGCACTCCTTAAGAAACACAACCTTCCTCAGAGAGGTATTAAAGCATGCAGTATAAATATTTATATTGTTCCTAGTCACAGGCAAGAAATGTGTTTAAACAAAGTTAAGAATTCACTAGAAAGTACACACAATGGACAGTGTTGGCATGGGCTGATGTGAAGTAATAATTTCTTCTGTCAGTTTTACCAGCCAGGACTGAAATTCTGTTGCCACACTGTTTCAGAACACTGTGAAATGCCCCAGCTAATATACATGTGCACTCAGAGCCATGAAAATCAACTTAACGTGCAGTTCCAACATGAACATACATTAAGGAGAAAATAACTGCAATTTCAGCTCAATTCAAGAGGCTTGCATGTAAAATACAATGTTCAGCTGAATTCAAAGCAATATCCTAAGGAGACTTTCAGTAAATCCTACCAGGGTACAGAAGGAAAACACAGATGAAAGTGTTTTCTGCTTACTGCTTTTGAATTAAGGCTAATGGAGAACAGCATCAGACAGGATATGGTGTGGGGTAAGCAAGCAATGCCCTGCAATCATCGGTGCAGCACCTTCTCCACAATACCAGACTCCTTGCTCAGTCTCAACTGGTAAGATAACCTATAAGACAGCTCACTGATTTTTAAATAATGGTTGTATCCATCATTAAGAAGTATGGCAAAAAATACTGTAAAAAGCTGGAAAGGTCCCATTTTAAGCATGATACAGATTATGCAAGTGCAGCGACTACAACAATGCACTTCCAATCATCCACCACAGGATGAGGAGTTCAGCACAAAATTGCTCAGGATGGTATCATACCACTCAAACATTAAAGGTTGCTGCCAGGAGGTGCATGAGACAAATCAGTAACTGCTGTGTCTAGAACACATTCTTGAAAGTTCCTTCCCTTCAGTACACTGCATGGCTTTGCTCCATCTGGATATTTAACCCATCTGAGCTGAGTACATCAGACTCTCCCAAATTAGTGCTAATGCATTTTGGATTAGCTCATCAAACTGGGAATTCTCAGTTCTCAGCATCAAAGAGATGGCAGAGTATCTTTTCACACAGTGATTGCCTAGTTCAAATGCAAATTTGAGCCCCATGTTAATTTTAATTTTCAGCACTACTTTGCTTTAAGAATATATTAAGAAAAAAAGCTTTCAAGTTTAATATCAGGATATTGAAAGCCATGGAACTGAAATCTCATCATGGAATATATCTTTAAACAGAGGAAGCAGAAAAGGTCTGTAGTCAACACTGCTCTATGAGTTCTTCACTGCTTATTAAGAGACTGAGAAAAGCTTTTAGAAGATGCTTGTTCTTACCTACATCGCTTTTGGATGTCATTTTTATGTTCGTAAGTAGCACAGTTCAAATGAGGAACGTGGAGTTTAGCTTCCTTCATGCACTGCCACCATCTATTTTGACAAGAAAGGCATCTATTCCTGAAATGGTGTTACTCTATTTCTTGCTGCACCGTGCTGTGTTTCTCAAACTTTTTTTCTTTTCTTTTTCTAAACTTAGCATTTTCCTTCCTCTGTATCCTTCTCTTTAGTTATGAGACAACGACAGATGGACTGTGGGACAAGTACTGCCCATATGATCATATTCATGGCTTTGCAAGGGCAGGAACTGTCAGAATTTCCTCTCATGTGATAGAATCAGTCTCAAAATGCATGTGTGGAAAAGCACTCTTTGTTCACTCACCAGCTTTTGATGATGAACTTCATATCCTGAGTCATGTCGGAACTCTGCATCCATCTTCACTTCAGATATCTCTTCTGTTTTAACGTTGGTCAGCCCAGAACCTGCATTGCACCGCAATGACAATTCATTACAGTCAGCAGTTCAGATTCAGTAAGATTCTGCTCACCACGGGTATGAGAGCAGAAGGCAGTGGTACCATTCACTCAGAGGAGGTATGATGCAACAAGAAAGGGAACTGGGGGCAAAGTGAGGCGCATCTCATGTTTCAATCCCACTGAGGTGACACAGAAAGAGCTGCTAAAATTTCTCCTCTGTTAAACAATCCCTAATCCACCACAGCTATATTGCTACAAACATCAAAGACTTTCAGCATGAAAAACTGCACGAACTAAGCTGCAAGGGACCAACACAGGCCAGAATTGGCTCACAGGCTGCAGACAGATCTGCTCTGACAGCTTCTTTAGCAATGTCCAGAGAGTTTGTTGTTTAGACCAAAAGTTTCGTCCTCCCTAAACTCAGGCTGTTGAGAGGAAAAAACCACACACGCATGGTGTGAGGAAGGGAACCCCAGATACTGTATTTTCCTGCTTCCTGTGAGTCTGTACCTTTTGCACAAACATACACACAAATAAGTTACTAAAATATTTGTGAAGTTTACACAGTTCTCATTTGTTTTCATATTTCATATTGCTCAGAATCAATGATTCAAGCCTTGCCTTCTGCACAAGAGATGATAACTGTCTCTCTTGATTAGAAACATGCAGTAAAGCAAGTGATCACAGCTTGCAGCAATTGTACCAGTGGATAGTTTGCAGTCCTGTTCTCCCCTTATCAAGTGTGAAGGGGAGATGCTGCATTTGTCTAACTGGACAGAAGCCAGGATTTCCTCCTGGAAAATAGCCTTAAGAGAATGAGCCAGACTTAACAGCAGTGGAGCAGTGTACCCTGTATGCATATCTATGGATGTTTTGTCCTGAAGAGCTGGCTCTGGCTTATGGAGAACATATGGGTTGCTTATTTTCCCTCTCAGTACCAACACACTGACATTTGTGTTTCTTTTAGGAGGTACAAACCCTACAGAAGAATGGTGTTTATGAGATGTTATTTCCTCCCCCTAATGAATGTAATACAAACAAACAGGTTCATATTCATTGTCTGTATTTATTTTAGCATTTTCTAACCCCCAACTCATCTCTCCAAGGCTTCATTTTTAGTATCTTGGGCTGACCTTGAGCTCTGATGTAGAGGACAAACACCTTTTAAAATTCTCAACACTACTGACTGACACTGACACTGAGACAGTGGACCTCCTGTGCTCCACTGCCTCTTCTGGACTCTCAATAAATTCCTGAAGACTTCCATGTGCCAACAAACTTCACATTCTAAAATAGCACTCAGTGCAAGAATTATTGCCCTTTTATTGCCTTTGAATATGCAATTTCTTTTTTCATTAAGTGTTGATTTATTTTTGTATTATGAACTAGCAAGAACAGACCTTCCCAAGAACTTCTCTAGACTGTACAATCCCTTTTTAAGGTTCTGAGCTTTCTATTCATCAGAAATCATGCAAAGGAGAGAATAAGAATCATCTTCATACAATATTTATAGTTACATTCTTGAGCAGTCTGACTGTCCCATAAAGTCTACCTTACTGTTATTTTGGTTTGTTTTGGTTTTTTTTAAGGAATAAACCACTTAAAACCCCCAAATTTCCTTTTTAAGCATCTGTTTTTGATGCTACGTCACAGTACTGACACAAACATATTATGACATTTATATATGAGAGACTATTAAAGTAAGAACCTTCAAGTACTTTAGGAATTGCAGTCTGAAAACAAAGAATGATGTTCTGTCAATGAAATGCAGGAGGAAATGGAGTCGAAGGAAATAAAGCCCACATGGTACCAAAAACCAGGTTTAGCTTTCTATTCTTGAAGCAGCTATGGTTAGTTTTCTAAATTAAAATAAGAGTACAATATACTCTGTGTATCATCTCAAAATAGCCCTTACATCTGCATCAAGGGGAAATGAAGAAAAGGAGAACATGTATCTGGGTGCAAGGAAACTCCTCTCTTCAACCCACTGCCTTTTTTTTGGCTTTAGGATTAAAAGGGGAGGGGGGAAAATCCCCACAGTACCAATGCTTCACACAGATGCTGGGGGGACAGGGCTTTCCCAGGATATGTTTCACTGCCTGCAGCTGCTCCTGGCTGCTGCCACTGTCCATGGCCACACTTGCTCCTCCTTATAGACACACTGGGCAAAAGCACCACATGGAAACTCCCCCAGGGCAAGGGCCTGAGGAACTGCACAACTTTGCTGCTACAGCTGGCAAATTCCCTGAAGCTGTAACTATTAATTAGAACATATCCATACACATCCAAGATAAATCAGGGAAGAATCAACTTGTCTTTTGTTGAGGGAAGCACTGCCTCCCAAACCTCTTAAGAGGTCACTGGAAGAATTAGGAAGAACATGGGAGACACTGACTCTCCTTGGAGTGAATCTGGATTTCCAAAAAGCCTTTAAGAAGGTTCTTGATCCCCTGTCAGAAGCTAAAATGCCAAGGATTAGGAGGGAAAGCTCTATGTGACTTCCCATAACTGATTAAGAGAAAGGAAATGAAGTGTAAATACGCATCCATAAGGACCTGTGCTGTGCTGCTTGCTAAGTGATCTGGATAAGGGAGTGAATTATGACATGACAGTTTATTGACCAAAAATAGAAAAGAGGATAGTCAAAGTAAAACCAGCTGTAAAGAACTGCAGGAGGATATTACAAATTCTGAGTGCACAATAAACGACAAATCATAGTCAATGTTGATATAAAGTGGTGCTTGTGGGGATACACAGCCCTAACTAGTCATACACAATAAAGGCTCTAATTTAGTTCTGTTCTGCCCAGGTCAGAGACCTTGCAGTCACTGTGGGTAACTCCATGGCCACTTGGCTAAGCAGCAGTACAAAGGCAAAGAGAAAGCTAGGAGCAAACCTGAGAAAACAGAACACCTTGTGACACCGCTGTATGAATGATGCATCCTCATTTTAAATCTGGCTACCCATTCTGGTCACCCCACCTCACACAAAGGCAGAAGAACTAGAACAGATACAATACAGGGAGACACAGACAATCATGGGAATGGTTTCTGTACATGAAGGACTAAAATCAGGAGTCTTCAGACTGGAACAGGCAACTGAAGGAAAACATGACAGAGGCCTGTGAGATCGTAAGTGACAAGGTGAAAGTCTACAGAAAATGGTCATTCATTATTTCTCCTAAGAAAGTACAGGACACCAACATGGCTATGACACAGCAGATTAAAAGCTAACACAAGAAGTGTGTGTGCATATATATATATATATATGTAAAATTTGGTACAATGCCAAACTGGACTGTGGAACTCACTGGCACAAATCACGAGGATGTTCAAAATACAAACGAACAAATGTGAAGAAGAAAGGTTCCTCCAGGGATACTAAACACCATGGTGAGAAACCAATTTCCAATCCTGGAATCTATCAATTGCAGGCTGCCAAAAGCTCAGTGATGTGCCAGGAGTATAAGGCAGAAGTGAAATCTGTACATATCCTATATGCACCACTGCTAGAGGCAGGAAAATGGACTTGGGCACTTCTGCTCTTGGGGTCTGACCACTATTTCTGAAAGCAAGCTGTGGTGGCTTAGACTGTGGCTCTTTGTTAGCTTCAGTTAACTGCTAAATGCCACAGGCAGGAGTTACAGCAGCATTTCAGGGGGCAGAACAGGTCACATCAATGAGCAACAGAGGGTGACAAGTTCACCAGTAGTCTTAGCTGCTGGAAAAATGCAGGCTCAGGCTTCCCTAAAGGCACATTTCTCCGAGGGCTCCCTTCTCTCTTTCCATTCCCACTACACAGTAGCATAGGAGTCATACTTCCAGCATGTTGCAGGTTAAATGATCTTTTTTGCCTTCAGATCACGTAGACATTTTTTGCCTTGCGCCAGGTGACCAAGGTCTGGTGGTGTACCTGGCCATAATCACCAACCCATAAAATGCGACGGGATCTGAACACAAGGTAGGACCTGACATTAAGAAGTTAATGATGTTAGGCTTACTGAATCTTGGTTTTGGCAGCTTGCACAGGAAAAAGGTCAGAAACAGAAAAATCTTCTGTTGCACTAGCAAACCCCGATACCATTTTCCCCCCTTCCTTCTACCTCCCTTAGAAGTGAGAAAAAAAGACTTCTAGAAGTACAGCTAGGGTAAACCAGTGGTCTTCTGCAAATAGCTGATCATATATAAAGAGAAGCATGACATTGCCTTCGAATCAATTAAATACCTAGGATGAGACAAGAATATATATATATGGGGTTACACTTTCCACCATGTTACGTTATAGAATTGAGACTTTCTATTTAACAGAATCTCTTTTATTTCCCTGTCCTGGCAACTATGTATTTAGACCTCCAAGCTAAAAGCAAAGATTTATTTTTCAAAGGTATTAACTGAAGAAGGAAAAACTTCAGGGTCTTTCCAAAATGTTAATCAGATGTAAGATGCAAACACCTAAGGGCTGTTAGGCTAAGGGCTGCCTAACACCCCTCTAGCCTTGCATTGAAGACAAGCATAAGAAGAAAAGTTAACTCTGACAAGAATTTTAATCCTGACAAAAAATGATGCTTATTCACTACCAATTCTAAAAAACACAACACAAAAGCCAATGTACAAGATGAAAAGTGAGACCAACAGCCTCACTGCAAATTCACAAATAATAACTATTAGCACTATTTCTTCTGAATTACATACTATCTTTAGGGAGTTACATTCCTAATTGCTTTAAAAATGCTTCAATTCAATTGTCAAATACATTAACTTGCAGCTTCTTAGAAAAAGTGGCAAAACTATTTTGTTATCAAAACCTCAGTTGTAAAAGCATCTAGTGAAATGCACCAAAATGAGCTACCTACAACAGGCTTATAATTATACTGCTGTTAATTAGGAATGTTAACTGCTTTTACACATACATGTGTACACATACATGTGAGCACACATACATATCCAAGCATCAAAAAAGCAGCATAGGAAAGCCTTATTGTTCCTTGTCCTAAAGGAAAAAACCAA